GATATATATATATATATATATATATATATATATATATATATACACACACACATATATATATATATATGTATATATATAACATATATAACTTGTAGATGGGTATATTCACTCTACAGATTGTTTCAAATTATGGTATTCTCTCTGTCTGTCTTGCTAAGCTTTCTATTAACGTGGTATTTTCAGATATACTGAAGGAATTCAATAAGGACGTGATGGGATATTCGCTTGGTCGTGGCGATGAAAATAGCGAGGATTCAAACTTTAACTGAGATGTGTATAAGAGACAGACCCCCACCCTCTACAGCCCGGTAAATTGGGACTATTAACACTTATAACAACAATAATAAAAATGAATAAAAAGTGTATACACCAACCAGACCTATCACTTCTTATCACTTGACAGTAGCCTATATATAGTACGTCGGGTTCTGTTGACATGTAGACCTAATCTCTGTATTAATATAATATATAATGCAAATAAATTAATACTGTATACGCCTACTTAAAGCCTCTTATCTTTCGGCAGCTCATCGGGTGAGACCAGCCGATATCAAGGTTGTTGGCGCAATAGGTGATTCTATAACGGTAAGAAACGTCTCTAGAGTGCCGCTCTCATCAACACAAAGATATTGCAAATCTTGGATAATATCCATTCATCCATTTATTTTTTTTAAATGACAACATCCTTAGGTATATTTACTGTATTGGTTGTGATACCACGGATTACGCCTCATCTATGTGCATGCGCAAACGCGCTTATTGATGTTACAACGTATCGTATGACAGAATATATCCTCGCTTGAAGTTGATAACAGACCTATTTGACCATTTCTTTGATATCTTTGATATAATTGATATATTTAGATGCTGCTAACAGTTCTTGTCACGATCTCCACACTTTACAGAAAAGCACTAAAGGCCTAATAGTAATAATAATATGCAAATTAGTCCAGTTAAAATAGATAGATATTAATTATCATAATTAATATTTAAACGTGCGTAATTTTCTATTGTAATAATTTGTCGGTAAATATATAATTTGATTTTTTTTTAAATTAATTGCTGACATTTTTACTCACTTATGGGACAAGCAAGTCAATATTCAACCCATTATAATAATACTTCAACGATATGTTGGTATTTAGTTTGAACTTTAGAGTGCTAATAGGCCAAACTGAAGATAGTGGTGTTTATGGTACTTCTCAAAAGTAATATGCACACAATTATCTAAAGCCAACATACAGATATATCATTACCGAAATGCAATTGAAGATAAAATGTTAATCACCATAGTCTGCGAAGGGTCTTTACGAAGACCAGTCCAACAATCCAAAATTCATTGTAGTTTATTCTTTCATAAGAATTCCTCAAATATTACTACTCAGTACAGTATGTAGGCCCTAATTGCAACTTCTCAAATATGTTCCATTCAGTATAATCTGTGCAACTGAACACAGATAAAAAGGTGCAAAGTTAACACGTGGAATAAGACTAATTAAAGTAAAAGACAAGATATTGGGCAAGGGGCGAAACATTGTGGTCTTTTAACCGTTCAAGTGTCTTTAAACAGGTTATTTTAGGCAGTTTAGTGTTCTTGCCCTTTACCACCTTCGTAGTGTCCGTGTGTGTGTGTGTGTGTGTGGGTGTGTGGGTGTGTGTGTGTGTGTGTGTGTGTGTGTGTGTGTGTGTGTAAAACCACATACCCGATACGATAGAGTCTGTGGTAAAACTCACTGTGCCAATGTTTGTCTTACAGGCGGCAAATGGTGCTGGAGCGTGTACTGTTCCAGGAGTTGCAATTGAATATCGTGGACGGTCTTGGAGGTACGGATTGCATGAATGTTTATTATACTGTATACATATTTGAAATGAATCGCCAATCACCTAATCGTTAAAGAACGAACATACGAACCGTCAATCAATCAATCAATTAACAATCAATCAGTTCATCTATCCCCTCGATCGATCGGTGGAGCAGTTATAATGAACTTACTATGAGTCTTATAATGAACTACTCTGGTGCAACTTTAACACACTGCATGCATAGGCCGTATATACAAGAAGGAAACAAATATTTTATTCCTCCATGGTTTTTGTCATATTTTATTATTTTATCTCATATTGGGGAATGTAAAATTATTTGAGGACCAATTTAGGCTATATGGGTTGTATTGTGTTTTATTATCAACTTTAATATAAGAGCCATCCTCTAAAAAATTTCAAAATACAAGTAGTTGAATACTTGAATTTTGTTCAATGTTATATTTTGAGCAAGTATATTTATCAACTGTCTATATTTTCACAATAGCATTGGAGGAGATGGTGCTCTAGAGTCGCTTACCGAAAGAGTAGTAACCATTCCTAGTAAGTGAACTACATTCTGATTGTAAATTAACATTATATACATATGCATAGGCCTATATATATATATGCCCGAAAACGTTCGTGTACTCAATAAACTACTTTTAGCAACACTAGATACAAAAGTTTGTGATATGGATGTACCTGTATTGTAGCTGTCTCTTATACACATCTAGATGTGTATAAAAGACAGATATAATACTGTAGTTGATATATTATTCTC